GTATTGGTATGAAAGTATTATAGTTAAACCAGTTGAAATGATTTATTTTCATCAAAGGATATCAGTTTACAGCGTAGGTATTTCTGATGACACCGTGCTGAAATACTCTGACTTATCTTTGGATTATATCAAAATCCGTGTCAGAAGAAAATCTTGCGCAAGTTGAGTGGTAATGACAGTGGTTTGCGACTTGATCGCAAGATTAAAGTAAAAAACACATTAAAGGAGAAGGAATCTTTTCTGGCTTCTTGCCTGAAACAGAGAACTGGTAGATGCCCCTTTTATCTCTAGGAACGGTGAATTAACGAACACAGAACAGTAAACATGACAAATAGCTTTATTCTTAGCCAAAGCATTCAGTCTTTCTTTAAGTCTACAAGTCAGTCAGCCATTCAGATAGTTTGTATGTTTCTCTGTTAATTCATTAATTTATCTATCTGCCTACCTGTCTGTTTATCTATAAATCTACCTATTTTTCAAACTATATAAGTATCTATTTGTATATGTTTCCCTGTACCTACTTATCTATCTCTTCATAAATATATCTATCCTTGCTTTTTGCTATTAATCTGACTGTTTGCCTATGTATTTATGTTTCTGTATATCTATTCTAACAGTCTAGCAATCCGTCTATTTATCCATCTTTCTATCAATCTGTCTGTCTCTATGTCTATCCATCTTTCCGTTTGTCTGCCCATCAGTCTATTTATTTCGATTCCTTCCTGCGAGCCTCTTCTTTCAAACGTTGCTCGTTTGGATTTGCAGAAGCAAAACCGTCCTTTAAGCATTTTAGACCCTCTAATATAAGGTATCAGAGAGCGGGAACCAGGTTATTCGCCTCTTGGAAGCAAGTGTACATCTTTCACCCGACATCTTGCTGCTGTTACTGTATGCTGAAAATCCTTGGCGAATGTGTTGTTGTGTAGTTGATGTCTTAAATTTTACCGCAAGTGAAAGTAACTTGCAGTATTAATGTTTATTTTTTATTCATTCTTCTGTTTACTCTACTTAATAATCATTATTAATGCTCTTCTTTTCTTTAAACTCTGAATGAAAGACGTCTCCAAATGCAGCGACCGATTTTGTTTCAGGTATCTGTTGTTCCTTTAATTTAATCTGCCCAAATCTCCACGCCAATCACCTTTGATATGTTCTGCATCATCATCATCTTTACCGTTTTTTCTGCAATCATTTTTTTCGACAGCCCATGAGTGAAAATTGTTGTTTTTTCAAGATTTTATGGAAGATGATTCCAGATGCAAATGGCTCCGATGAGTCCTGTTGTCTCATCCCAGCCTTCCGCTTA